CAGTTCAGTACAGACCTCGTGTCTGGAGTTTACAGTTTACTTATATATACCTGCAGCCATGATATTGATATTATTATTAATGTTTACTTTAGTATGAGTTTCTGCGGAGTACAATGTTTTTAGTACTCACGCTCCCACTATTATGATCTTTTCAGGTGACAGGGTCGGCCCGGAGGAGTGAGTGGAGCTGATGGTCGCCGGTCCAGTACATGTAAATATGTATATATTTTTGCAGACTGTTGATATGTATATATTCGCCACGTTTTTACTTCCGCTGACGTTTTCAGACTTCCAAACTAGTGTGTAAATTTTCAGACGACGATCCGAGCTTTCGGGTCAAATTTTATACAGTATCACACGCTTGTTTTATAAAAGATAATCCGTTTTTCATAAATGGGTTTAAAGTTAACGGATTTTTTTTTTTAGAAAAGAAATGTTTTATGTAGCATCCCGAGATATGTTTCGCAAACTAAAACGTAAATTTTAGAAAAGAATTTGCAAAAATCGCACTCTGATTTTAGTAAGCTAGCGAGGTTATTGATATCATTTTCCGTAAGTCAGATTAAGCGACATTAATTTGTTGATTGAGATCAGTATAATGGTGATTAGAGTTCATGCAAACAAGTGACACTTCCACCAGCTTCAAGATGACTACACAATGAAAGATTCAGCAAGAACCGACATCTTTACTAAGTTGACCGATATCACATGTCGGTCAACACATGTCGGTCAGCACATGTCGGTCAACACATGTCGGTTAATACATGTCAGTCACAACATACCGGTTATAACTGGGTGGACCGATATCTATAACATGCCATCTCAGCATGGTAAGGCGGCGACAACTCAGCATAATTCATCATTACATTTATCCAAGTGGCAAGCTATCAAGAGAAGCAGCCAAGGGCCGCCTTTGACCTTTCAAAGTGTAATGATTATTGTACAGATAAATATTGTACGTAAATATAAAAGGGAAACAAAGATTTCCCCAGAAGGGGGAGACAACAATAACACCTTACTAAAAATTACATTTCCAGTTAAAATATACAAGCTTTTATCGTCGAACACTTTGATTTATTTCAAATACACCCCAATTTGGTTGTTGTTAATTTCCATTTGACAACAGTTTGGCGCTAGAAGGAGGGCGGGAACCTTCGCTC